AGAGAGGTGCAAACTGTGGGGCTTACAGAACATATTTTAAAAAACTATTTCCCTGAAACCTGGAGAGCTCTGAAGTTAGGCATTCTGGATAATAAAAGTAGTGGGCAAAATAATTTTTTTATCAGCTTGTTTACACAATTATGTAAATGATGAGCACTTATACTTGGCTGATTCCTCAATTATTCATGGTTTGAAGCTCTTGAAAATTCAATTCAACTAAATAACCTTTCTATTCAGTGCTCATGGTGAGCAAGGTAGTGTAATTTGAAAAGGGGAAGACAACGATACAATTTGATCAGGAGCATTACAGAAGCGAACAATGGGTGCAGTACAAGTTGAGTAAGCTCTATGAGAATAGCACAACACATGCTCCGAGGTTTTAGCGCAGAAGAGACATCATTTATTCTAGTGTATTTGTGGAGGATGGAGGAGGCTAGTCTAGAGCCCTCAGGCATGTATTGCATGTGTTGGATTCAGATCCCATCTCCTCCTGTCTGAACTGTCAGATCAGCTTCCTTGTTCACGTCTCCTCACATTGCTGCTCCACAGTGACCCTTCTGAAGGCAATCTGACCGTGCTACTCTTTAGCTCCAAGCCTTCCATTTCCCCTTACCATCGACAAAAAGGAGTTAAGGTTTCCCATGTGTCACATAGTCTCTGCACCCTCGGTACACGCTGTCTCCCCTTCATACGCATACTGCCCACTGCATTTCATGTTACCTGGCCCCCAGTAACCTCACTGGCCTTTCCAATGCTGTTCCTCCTACCTACATTGATCCTTTCCTCTTTCATTTGCTCCTTCTCCCTCGTGTGTCTGGAGTACTCCTGTCCAGCTTGCTTGGCTCCTGTCCAGAAGATACAGCTGGTGAGTGTCAACCCACCTCTCCATTGCTCTCAGCACCATCTCTTTATTTATCCCAGCACTTTATAATTTTGGGACAGAGGCAAGGCATCCTTACATTCCTTATAGTGTGTCCTGCATGTGATCAGAATGCACACGGGTCATGGCACATGCTGTTTACCAAATATATTTCTGCCATTTCTGGAATTTCTGAATTTCTGGATTCACCACTTGGATGAGTAGGTTTTCTCTACTGACACCAAGTAATGTGATATGTAAATGTAGAACCTTCTTCCACAGAGTTTAAAATAAGAGGATGCAACAGAGGATCAAAGGAGCAAGAGACAGCTACTTTTATTTGTTTAAATGGAGACAAGTCTTCTCTAAGCTGAGGGGGAACCTCAACTCGGGTACCTGATAGCATGGAATTTTTCATATCCACAAATGTGGAGAGAAAACCACAACTATAACATTAGCAAAGTACTGTAATAAGAGGTGACCTTTCAGGCAGTACTCTCTCCATGAAAGTGCATCACAATTGGACAGGTGCTTAACTTCTCAAAGGTGCAGGCCTGAACATAGGGGCTCAGACCTCTGACATTCCCTTTTATAGTCCTCCATATCAAACAGCCTTTGAGCCCTTACTGACTGGAGTTTGAGATAGAATCAAATATGATCAGAACTCTGCTGAGCTTCTGCAATCTCCGAAGCTAAAGCAAGCCAGGCCTATTCAGCTGTGGTGTCTGGGTCTGACCACAGCTTAAATGCATCTAAAACCATGTAGTGATCTGTGAGTGAAGGTTGGCGTGAACTGGGAACTTGTGGGGCCAGAATGGCAGGATAGATTTATCCATCATATTCCCCCTCCTTCTCCCAGCTGACTCCTCAGGCACCCTGGTTTAGCTTAGAAAAACACAACAAAGGTGGTCTTCTTTCCTTACCCCCAGTGCAAGGGTGAGCTCGAAGTTTAGTGTCCTCTGGAAAGCTGAAAGAGCTGAGCTACAGGCTGCACTGTGAGCTTTCAAGGAAGCTTAAATTCATGGACAGTTCTTGAATGACTGTCCGCACCCAACAGAACAAAGCATGAGTTAGGAGTTTCAGTATGTTCTCAGCATGCCGAATCTGGCATGAGAACTGACAGGAGGAAAGACAAACACACATGTTTTGTTTTCTTGTAAAACATTTACGTCAACACCAGGCCATTCCTTTATGTTCACTTTTTTTTTCTCCTCTTTTCACTTTGTTTTCACCTCTTCCAAGAATTTAGAAGAGTACTAAATTGGTAAGCCATACCTCTTTATTTGATCAATGCATCTGTCTTTCCTGAAAATGAACCCACCCATGACTTACAGAGGACACTAAATATACTTAGGCAACAAAAAAACCATGTCATATCATTTTCTGTTGTGCCTACCCAAACTCTGGTATTACTGACATTAATGAACTAAATAACTTAAAGTAGTAGTTGCTCAAGAAAGATGGTTTCATGAAGTCAAAGTTCCTGTAGGCATGGGACCCCTGAGAGGTTTTCCTGTAGATTATAGAAATTGATGGATAGAGCCTAACTTTTTTGAAAATGTAGGATCATCAAGGCCATCAACATAGAATCCTAGCCCCTCACGGATGAAAGGGACCAACAAATCATCTTTTACACTGCAGCAAATCAGGGGAGAAGGCAAAATGCTTTGGAATCTGACTGCAGTCCAGAGCAGCCACAAAGCTTGGAGCTCAGTTCCCCAAATATCACATTTGTCTCAATTTGGCAGGAAGCTGAAAGCCTATCTGGGGCCATTTAGGTTCTAATGTTATTAAGGGCTCATCTAACCAGCTCTTAAAATAAGCTGCTCACAAATGCATGGGGATGGAGGGTAAGAGAGAAGCAAGTTGATCCAGGCAGCTCAACCCAGCCTGGTGAACTTGGTATGAATTGCCAAAGAGCCATGGGGTCACATGGCTGTCCTCCTTTTTGGTAACTTCTGCAATTCTCTACCAAGCAGCATTCACAAAAAGATATTTGTAAGTGTGTGAGAGAGAGAGTTCATCTGCATAAGCCATACTCTCCTGAGAGGTCCACAATGCACAAGTGACAACATGTGACAAGGCTTGGCAGGGAAAGATGAGCTGGCATCTATGCCTTGGGGAGGCTTTCAAATGTAACTGATGGAGAATGGTGATTCTGTGAATTACTTCTGAATTCATGTCTGCAGACTTCTGAGAAGTTCTACCCTTAGGGCACCCAGCAGAATTCCCCATCCTTGTCCTGGATCCCTGACAGTTGTTATCTGTTATCTTGGGTGCTTCTCCCTCCCATCTTGGTTTGACTTTCCCTGGGACCAGGAGCTCCTACCAGCTCTAGATTGAGATGGATCCTGACCCTGGTGTGGATATGGCTCTCATGGAATCTGGCTTCATTTTTTGGGTCCTCTTTAAACAGGAGACTCACCTGGAGTCCATCAAAGCTCTTTGCTTTGGTCTATGTGCTCATTTTCAAGGGTAAGCCTGAGGCCAGGGGCCTAGATATTAGAATGGTGCTGTTTCCAAGTGACACTTGTCTTTAGCACTGTCTTCTCCTGATGCTCACCTTGGGCAAAGTACTTATTTTACCACCTTGGGGCTTCACCCATGAACCTGGGGCCTCTCCTTTATTCTTTTAATATCGTGAGCAAAAGCCTCAGATAGCAGGCCCGGGTGGAGATAAATTAAATTAAATTAAATTTTTCTCATATCTAAAGCAATATTAAGTCATGTATTGAGCATCTATGCAGAGAAGGGTGAAAGTATTCCAGATCTTCTGCTGGCATCGAACACTTAGAAGTCGGTTCACAAACCAAGCGTTCTTATTTGAGGAAGCCTTTTAGATGGGAGTTTTGGTCTTTCCCCACCGCAAGTGGTTTGCCAACTACTCTTCCATATATAGAAATGTTTTCTCTGAGCAGAGTGTAGGTAAGTGAAGCCATCACCATCTAAATATAGGATGCTTCGTGACACGTAGCCTCCACTACTGCCCACCTGGCCCAACCTGTTCCAGCTCTGTGCGGTTGCAGACATTTCTGTCTCACTCATCTGGTAGCCTTGAAACATCAAACTCACAAACTCACCCTGAAATATGAATGGCTGACAGCTCACTTAGTGTGATGACGTATCTTGAGACTTGCTGTTCAAATAATTTTTTTTTTAAATGGTCCAGGGATACTTTGTTGTCAAATTTCCCTAACTGAGGCAGGATGCTGCTGAGGAAGTTCCAGGAGGATTCCAATGTGGAACTCCAGATGGGACTTGTAATGTGTCTGTAGAATGCTAGGAGGGTGATGGAGGATGTGGCAAGGACCCAAGGAGGCCCAGGAAGAAAATGAGTTTTTCTTGAACAAACTTTAGAACTGTATAAACAAATAGCGAGAGAAGGCTAGTGGGTATATTATCATTGCTTTGCACAATAAAAACAAAACAAAACAAAAAAACTAGACACCTGTTTGAAAAGTTCCCAATTCAGTGAATAAGGTTTGAGCACCACAGCAAGTTATTGAGGGAGGGAAATATTCATTGCGCCTGTCAACTCGGAATCCTCAGAGCCTTTCCTGTCGACCATTTTTTAGAGGTTATTATTTCAACCCCAAATTTTTTCAGACATATATATGTGGTAGGAAAAAGGAATTAGAAAAGCTTTTAAATTAAAAGAAATAAAACGACAGGTTTTCCTCCAGCCGTATAAATAGTTATGGATAGAGATAAAGAGATGGATATTTTTTCATAATACTTTATTAGGGGTTTTGGAACTCTGGAATTTTTAGAGTCAGCCTGGTGAATAATTTAGCATTGATTCATGCAGGCCTGGTGCAGGCACTCTGGGCTGGGACTCAAGTCTAGTTTCTTGGAGGGACTGAGATCAGTAAGACATTTTTATTACCAACTGCATCATGAAGTGCGTTTCAGAACTATTTTATGAGTAGCCAAAATCTTAGTACCTGGTTTCTCAAGTGATTTCAGGGGCCGTGTGAAGCCCAGAGGAGCTGACGCTATTGGCCAGCTCATTTCATGGAGAGTATCCCCAAGGCTGTTGTTTCAGTGACAAAGGGTCTCAGGTCCCGGGGAATAGGCAATTCCTACTGAAAGCCTTAAACTGGCCATTGGCATGATGGATAGGAAAAGGTCCACACAGTACCTTCCTGATGTCGTCCTCTCTGATGTTTTCTCTTGATGGCGTACTCTTTGATTCTAACTCCAGAAGAGATTGGTTCTCTGAGCTGAGACAGACACCTGTAACAGGAAAGAATATGTAGCTTCATAATGAGAACCTCGGTTTCCCTATTCTTTCCTTTTAAATAAATTTAGAGGTGGACCATGTAGCTCTCTACAAGAAAAAAACATTGTTGATTATTAAGTTATTGTTTTCTCGCTACAGTTTTACTTATCTATTTTATTAGTTCTTTCTTTATTAAGATTCACAAACTTGTGTGAAATGACAAATACCTAGGGTAAAAAAAAAATCTGTGGACTCATTATACATTCAGAAACATACTTCATATAACAAGTTCAACAGCTTTAAAAGTGGTTGTGAGAATGCTTGGATGCTTTGATTGCAGTAAATGTTTGTCACTTCCTCCAAGAAGCCTCCTTTCCAACTCCTTCTGCAAACAGGATTCCTCTTTATCCCCTCAATGTCTTTGGTATGCTGAGCACCCCTTTCTCATGAAAGCACCATTTATCAGGGTCTCTCTATCTGCTCGACTTTTCATTGCAGATCCTCCAGGGCCTTCCAGACTCTCCACAAGGTTAGAGTCTTTGTCCTTCTCCCGCTCTATTTAGATCTTGTCCAATTACAGTATTAACAAAGGAAAACTCAATAAATAATGACTCAGCGGATGCAGAATAATCATCTCTGGTTAGAATATACCATCAAAGTATGGCCATCTACTGCAAGTGCAAGCTGCCTGTAAGGGTATTGTCAGCTTCTTTAATCAGGGACCCTGTGCAGAACTTGGACGGGGCTCTCCCTACACAGATCCTTAGGATCTGTCAATGCAGTTTATGGCTTGCTAACTTATGCCTTCAAGGACTTCTAGCTCACAAACACTCCTAAGCCTTCTCCAGAAGGGACACTAAGCCTTAGGGATCTCATTTGTAGATGCCTATGGAGGATGCATTTGTAAAAATTGGTTGGAATATAAAGGAGGAAGCAGCAAGCATTTTGCTAAGGCCCAGTCTTCTCTAAATTGTCCCTGAGTAGATTTGCCTTCCCAGGAGGCCCTCCTGGAACCCCAGAGGGGTAGGAAGTGTGAAGAACATCTAATGCTACAAGGGCCAGCTGTATCTGTTCCTGGCGAAAACTCTGGCTGCCTGGAGAGTGGGGTACATGCACTGTGGGGTTGTATCTTCAGGATAGAAGTGGTCCTCAGTGGGTTTGCTGGTAGTGGAGACAGAGGTTATAGATCATTTACACGGCAGGCATTTTTCTCTTCCAATAAGAATCTAGCTGCCCACCAAAAGGGAGAACTGCAGGTAATTTGGAAATGTGGTTACTAGCCATGCCAAATTTTCACTTTACTCAAGGCGCAGACAGCTGTAATATTAAACAATCTCTCTTTTCATGGAGTTAAAAATGCTCTCTCCTTTTTTGACCACCTGTTGCCCTCTTTTCTTTCCCCTTTATGTGAGGTGGTGACTTCATTCTCAGAGAGCTGGTCCAATCTCATTTGAACCAGCTAAGTAAATGTTACTGAAAGTACTGGCAAAATCCCTTTCTGTTCAGTTCACTTAACTCCAAATACCTGCAACATGTTTTGCTTCTCTAGCAAAATATAGGCAGTCATTGATCCATTCAACTAACATGTTTGTCGTGTTTCAAATCTCTTCGTTTGACATTCTTAAAATTATAACGGTGACACATACGTGTCCCAATAAGGGAATCATTCTACAGATATTCACCGGAAATACGGTGTTTTGTTGTTTGTTTTTTTTTTTTTTCTTTCCACATCTTGGTTCTATAATAGAGTTGATTCTCTCCTTCCGCTTTGTTTTCACTTCCCACAAAATAGATTGAGCTGGGACAGAGGAAAGCAGAAATGACCAGAGGGTATTCTGGCCCTTCCTCACTTTGGGAAGAAGCCTAGACCGTTAGACCCCGTGTAGATCAGTCTTTGCATGCTAGTTGCCACCAGGTGGGCACAGCTTTGTGCAAAGAAGTTCTTTGTGTCCGAGGGGGGATTTCTGAGCCACCTTTCCCAGTATCTGCTGGGAGAATGCCTCAGCCGAGTGGCTTCTCATAGTACTAGCAATGTACACCCTTCCTCCTTCTTGCTCACTTAACTCTAATTACACACACACCAGAGGCATACAGGGTGTTTTCATTTGTAGCTTTTCTAAGACACTATTCAAAACCTGCTTTGACTAAACCTACAACCACCATCATTACCCCCACCCAGTTCATTTGCATATCCATATACAGGTTTTAACAGAACATATGTTAATAAATTTCCAAGGCAATCGCTTCGTTCTCTGTGACTTGGCTCCCTTCTCCTTCTTTGAACACTGTACCTTTAATCTCTGTGTTGACTGTACGGAACATACCCTTATATACTTTCTTTCACAGTATGTCCACATAAGACATATGTGAGCGTGGATGTGTGAGACTATTTACTTTTGTGGTCCCTGGTGGAGCCTGTGAGACATGTAAACCATGAAGAATTGAGCACAGCCCATGCTGTCAAGAAATTCTCACCTGTGGCACCAGGCAATTGGTGCACAGTAAGGCCATTTCCTTTTGGAGGCAAAAGGAAAATTAAGGTGAGAACTAATATGTTGGGTACCAGGAGTCGAGTATGATGCTCTTCATTGGTTTAACAGGATTTTAAAGCATGTTTTAAGCTGTGGGCTGAGGAAATTGCATTTGAGACAGTATATGCCAATTTTTCTGAAGTCATAACTACATTTGCTCTGTTAGAATGCAGCTCATCATGAACTCAACATACCAACCCCTGTGATTTAGCACATAGTAGCTCATGAATCCAATTAATTTGATTAACCAGTTGTAGAGCTCTAAGTTATCACACAAAGGCCGTTTATTAAGCCAGATTTTCATAAAACTGTAGACAAGGAAAAGGATCGCTATGACAGGAAGTGAAGACGGTGAATAACACAGGCACATCTTCCTGTGGCAAGTCTCAGAGGTTTAGCTGAGGCAAATGTTAACCAAGGTTCATGTTATTAAATGCTCTCAGCCTTCCCAGTTCTAGAGGGCCCGGAGGGTGAGGGGCACCAGAGACATACTCAAAGGTCAAAGGGAAGGGCACCTGACCGGGCAAACTAGTGTGTATGTTTACGGTCTTTGCTTTTTTTGTTTTTTTGCATCTGTTCACTTCCAAAATTCACCTGTAACCTCTTTGATACCCAGCAATTTCTAAGGTCAGCTTGTTACAGTTCATCTTTGAGGAAAAAAAAAACCACTAAGAAATATGTCCAGAAAATATGTAGTATATATTTCTTCTTCATCAAATGCTGACCTTCTTGTACTGAAAGTGAGTTTGGCTACCCAAGGGGCTTGGCTCTGTCTTTGTAGCATGAGCTCCCTGTTCCTGACCAGCCAGGCAGGATCTTAAGCATCTATACAACTCAGGGAGCACTGCCCAAGAGGCCATGTTGACTTCAATCGTAGACTTTCTCAAAGCCTGGAGCATGTCTCCCCTGTGGCTTAGGTGAAACATGGGCAGAAGAAAGGCACCTGCCAGCCCAGAAACAGCAATAAAACACTGCTGAGGTTTTAGATTTCACGCAATGGTTCATGTGGGTATCCAGTATAAACTTTGAACTTGACTGGCATGGATTTATGTACTGCTAACTGCTGTTGACATTCTAGTAATGGCCATTGATTCCAAGGATGCTGACCAGCTCCAGACAAAATCACCCAGTACCTGAAAGAATAATCAATTCTTTCTTTTATTTTCCCCCTCAACTTTTCCAGCAGTTGGTTGCTAAACAATGGACCAGGTTGTAAATGATCAACAAATTGTGCTTAGTCATCTACAATACAAAATGAGACCTGTAGGCAGCTGTTGGTGATCTGACTTACAGTCTCTTATGTCTCCCTCAGTTTCCTCCCAAGAAGGATCTTAAATGCCGGCAACTTCAGACTCCTACTTCTTAGGAGGAATTCTCTGGCCCACTGGCGTTGGCAAAACTATGATTCAGTGGGCAGCATATAGAAGTTTGTGATTTCTCAACTTTTTATCTACTTATATGCAAAAATTAGCTCCAAGTCTGGGACTAAAGCAAGCAGTGTTTATTGTCCAGTAGTTTCTGTGGGTCCTGTGTATATGGATGGTCTGCCTCAGGGTCTTCATGAGATTTTGGTGAGCCCACAGTCACCCAGAGACCCACTGGACATAGTCTAGTTCCAGAATTTCTGTAATGTCAGTTGCCATATTGGTTCTCAGTTTCTCCCCCATGGGCTTCTCAAGGGTTAGTCGAATAACTTCACAACATGATGATGGCTTACTCCAGAGTGAGCAGTCTAAGGGAGAAGAAGCTGGGGGTCAAAGTGTCTTTTGTAACTATTCATCTCAATATTTCTGCAATATTCTAATATGCATGTTAGAGCCCTTTAATGTGGAAAACAAAGCTAGAACAAGGATATAAATACCAGATTGCAAAGATCAGCTGGAGGACACTTGAAAGCTAGCTACCACAAATGCTTTTCGCTTTGCTCATAATCATGAAGTCATGGAATAAGCCATTTTTGTTTCTTGAATGGCCCTGGGATAAAACAAACAAACAAACAAACAAACAAACCAAAACCAGAAAGCAGGAAATTGGGCTCAAATCTTATCCTTGCCAAATACACACTTATTAAAAAAAAAAAAAAAAAGGCAGTTAAGGCTTCTGTAATGGTTCATCTTGATGGTTAATTTTATAGGTTTTAGACTCACCACAGAAATGCACTTCTGGGTTGTCTATGAAGGGGGTTCCAAAGAGGTTTAGCTGAATGGGAAGACCCACCTGAACATGGGAGGCACCATCCCAGGGGTTAAGGTCTTGGACTGGAATTAAAAAAGAAATCATGCTGAGCACTGGAATTCCTCTCACTCTGCTTCCTGTCTACCGATTTAGGGTCATCAGCCCTGACAACATGCCTTCCCAGGCATGAGGGACTGTGTTCCCAAACTGTGAGACAAAATGGACCCTTTCTTCTTTGAGCTGCTTTTGTCAGGTATTTTGCCACAGTAAAGGAAAAGGGGTATTAATGTAGCCTTTACTTACCCCCT